TCCATAACTGTAATCATTTTATGTTGAAAAATAGGGGCAGGCACTAGCCAGAGGTAATTACTGTGTTAGCTATGGGTATAGTGTTTGATATTCTCCTGGGGAGTGAGCCTTTATACTTAAATCCACTTTTAATGGAGGTCCCTTTGGTTATTTCAGTAAATCAGCTACCTTGGATTTTGGCTAAAATTGATTCACCATACTCTAAAATCCTTTCTACAACCTTATTTGAAGATTATTAGAAAGTTCTGTGTCTACTTTTGAATATGAAAGATATATATTTTTAGTATGCATGGAACCTGCAATAACTTGATTGCAAATATTACCAGATAAACATGGGAAATAAGCCCAAGTTTTTGTTCAAAACTGAAATTTGCACATTTGTGAAATTAAACACATCATTAACAATGACTGGATACCTTAGTTCAAAATAACAAATGGCTAAAATTGTATTGTGCAAACAGGACTTTAGAGTAATAAAGTATGTGAGAAAGCATTTATTGCTATTGTTATTGTGTTTTGAATTATTTTATTTGAAAAAGAAAATGCTTAAGATCAAGGACACATAGCTAAAAGTTTCACCAGCACTCATGGCAACCATAAATAGTATGTCCATAAATTCCTAAGATTTTGTTAAGACTCAAGGGTTAAATTAATGGCTGATTAGTTTTTCTGGTCAGCGTCTGTCCTGTGAAAATGCAACCATTTAGTTCCAATTATTTCAAATGTACCAAAATCGTATTCTATAGTTTATGGACTTTGTATGCGAAAAAGAGATGTATGTATTTTGGGAAATAAAAGATGTCTATCCCATTTTTAAGACAAGAAGTACTACTGCAAGAGAAGGTCACATCCTTGCATTGTAAAACACAAGAAAATTGGCCGGCACCACGGCTTACTAGGCTAACCCTCCACCTTGCGGCGCCGGCACACCAGGTTCTAATCCCGGTCGGGGCACCAGATTCTGTCCCGGTTGCCCCTCTTCCAGGCCAGCTCTCTGCTATGGCCCAGGAGTGCAGTGGAGGATGGCCCAAGTGCTTGGGCCCTGCACCCACATGGGAGACCAGGAGAAGTACCTGGTTCTTGCCTTCGGATCAGCACGGTGCGCCAGCCACAGCGCGCTGGCCGCGGCAGCCATTGGAGGGTGAACCAACGGCAAAGGAAAACCTTTCTCTCTGTCTCTCTCTCTCTCACTGTCCACTCTGCCTGTCAAAAAAATAAAAAGAAAATAAAAAAGAAAAAAAAAAAACACAAGAAAACTTTCAGAAGTGCCCTACTGAAAACTATTCCATTACATGGCCGTGCCACATACTCGCGTATGCTGGGAGTCCGTTATTCTGTATGTTTACTAGAAAGAACAAAACTCGTTCTGTAATGAATACAGTGTTTTGCTCTTGTGCTGGCTCATTACCAATAACTTTCGCTAAAAGGACCAAGAACAGAGGACAGTTTTACATTCTCTGACCAAGACGCCGAAAGAAGTTTCAGAATCTAAGGAGACTGTTTTCCTGACAATGTTCATATAATTTATAGAAAAATCATTGAAATTATTCTGGAATTAACCTGTGAAATAGAAGATGAAAAACCATAAATGAATCCTTTACATTTGCAGATTTGTAAACATATTTTTAAAATTATGAATTATTAAGATAAGCATCTGAAATATATCTGCAAGTAGAGCCTGAACGAGAACTTGGCCTAGTTCATCTCTTGACTTCTATGCCTGAGGCACAGAGAGACTAATATGAGATTGACACTTGTATGACTTGCCTAAAACCACAGAGCCAAATACTGGCAAAGCTGGGATTAGAATCCTCGGCTTCTGGCTCAGTTCCTATGTTCTTTCCACTCCAACACATTCCTCCTTTAGGTTTTATTTTTTCAAAGTATTCCATCACTGGTAAGTATCTCTTCCCAGAGCTATGACTTTCTTCATTCTCAGTGTTGCTAATTACTTAATTGGTGGATTAGCAAGCTTTTCCAGAATACAAATGGACTTCAAAAAGTTCATGGAAAATGGCATTAAAAGGTGTTTGTTTTGGTGAAAAAAATTTGAAAGCCATGCATATAAAAGGTCCTCAAGAAATTCATGGAAATGTATCTTATGAAAAAAAACTGCATGTATTTCAATTTTTTTGCAATGCGATGAACTTCTAATTCCATTTTTAATTCCCACGGACACTTGTAAGCACATTCCTGGGCTAACCTGAATTACATTATAGTTTCCAAAAGTATGCCAGAGGGTCTTGGGTGGGGACCCCTGCATATTGTTTGCCCTGGGCACACAAGGTTAGCTACAAGACAATCTGGGATGGGCAGAAAAAGTATTGACCCACTTGTTGTTTAATCACCTCTTTTAGAAAGTTACTTTTTATGATAGTTCTTCAAATTAGTGATTTTCTTCTCCCCATTACAGTTTCAAACCGCCAAATGCATAAAAGCAGCTGTCAGAAAGCTGCTCTGCACCTCAAGTGCGAAGGGCTGTGAGACACTTATTCAAAAACCACAACCGAAAGCCAGTTGATTCCACAAGTATTTATTGAGTGTTACCAGAGACTTCTGAGGCTTGCAAAATCCCTTTGAGCTGAACTCTTAAATCGTACCCTCTTGTAGGAGATTGGTTACTCATTTAAACAAGTCAAGAACAAGAGAACAAATCACGTTCCTTTTATCTACCTTCATTTTCCCCTTTGTACTAATAATTCTTGGTCCTTCCTCTGTATCAGAATCAGCTGGGAAACTCAGGAAACTGGAAATGCCTGGGTCCTTACCCCTAAAGATTCTGTTTTGATTTGTGGAGATGGGAGTGGGTGGAGGGCCATTTTTCAGAAGTCTCTCCAGGTTGTGCCAACGTGTAGCGGGGCTTAAAAAGCGCTGTGCTTGGGGCCGGCGCTGTGGTGCAGCGGGCTAAAGCCCTGACCTGAGGTGCCAGCATCCCATGTGGGTACTGGTTCAAGTCCTGGCTGCTCCTCTTCCTATCCAGCTCTCTGCTATGGCCTTGGAAAGCAGTGGAAGATCGCCTGAGTCCTTGGGCCCCTGCACTCACGTGGAAGACGTGGAGGAAGCTCCTGGCTTCAGATTGGCACAGCTCCAGCCGTTGTGGCCACCTGGGGAGTGGGCCAGTGGATGGAGGACCTCTCTCTGTGTCTCTACCTCTTTCTGTAACTCTGTCTTTCAAATACATAAAAATAAATCTTTTTTTTTAAAGCACTGTGCTTAAAAATAAGACAGTGACTGCGCACGGAGGCTTCCAGGCAGGGTGGAGAGTGGTAGGATGCAGCCTGAGAATGAAGCTACAATGATGCTGTTCTAAAGAAACTGTGGAAAATGAATGTGATAAATGGAAGAATCGGAAAGGTATGTAGGCTGGAGTATTGTAGTTTAATCACATAACATTTTTAAGAGATTTATTTATTTATTTGAAAGTCAGAGTTACACAGAGAAAGGAGAGGCAGAGAGAGAGAGAGAGGTCTTCCATCCACTGGTTCACTCCCCAATTGGCAGCGATGGCCGGAGCTGCGCTGATCTGAAGCCAGGAGCCAGGAGCTTCTTTCTGGTCTCCCACGTGGGTGCAGAGCCCAAGGACTTGGGCCATCCTCTACTGCTTCCCAGGCCATAGCAAGAGAGCTGGATTGGAAGTGGAGCAGGCTGGTCCATATGGGATGCCAGCACTTCAGGCCAGGGCATTAACCTGCTGAGCCACAGCGCTGGCCCAAATCATATAACATTTTTAAACAAGTGAAATCTCTTTAAATTTAAAAAAAAATTTATGTATTTATTTGAAAGGCAGAGAAACAACTCCCATCTGCTGGTCCACTTCCCAAATGTCCACAACAGTCGGGGCCATGCTGGTGGGAGCTGGGAGCAGGAAACTCAGTCCAGGTGTCCCACGTGGGTGGCAAGGATCCAACACTTAAGCCATCAACTGCTGCTTTCTGGAGTCTTCAGTAATATTCCAATATGGGATAAGAGTGTCTTAACTAGCATCTTAACCCCTAGGCCAAACACCTACACCTAAAATATATATATATATATATATATATATATATTTTAATTTATTTGAGAGGCAGAGAGAGAGACAGAGCATGCTCCTGTCTGCTGGTTCACTTCCCAAATGTCCACAATATTGTGGACTGAGCCAGGCTAAAGCCGCGAACTGGAAACCCAGTCCAGATCTCCCCTGCAGGTGGCCGGGGCCCAGTTATTTGAGCCATCACTGCTCCCTCTAAGGTCCACATTAGCAGGAGGTTGGAGTCAGGAACTGGAGCTAATTATCAAGTCCAGATACTCTAACATGGGACAAGGGTAACTTAACTGGTATCTTAATCACTAAACTAAACATCCATCCCTTTTACATTTTTTGTAAAAAACACATATTCAAAAATTCTTAAGAAATCTTTGGCTTTCACAGAAGAGATCTGAAAACACACTGAAGTAACCAGAAGCTGTGAAGTCTGATAGCAGGAACTCCTTCAAGAGTGTTTCCAGAATGTAAGAGTATATTCAAACATCATTGGAGGGAAGGAAGGTTTTCCCTCCACGCTCTTAGGGTCTCTGATGTAAGATGAACAGAACAGCACATAAGTTATATTTACATATACCTAAGAGTCCCTCGCAAGAAAATGAGCAATCAGAGGAAGCAGCCTGAGTGCTTTAGGCATGGATGTAGAGTGGCAGCTGTGGAAAAGTAACTGGGAAGAACAGTTGGCTTACTAAGGTGCGTCTCTATCAACTTCTTGTCGCTCCCCGTCTTCGTGGAGGAACGACACAGGACCCTGCGCTGTTCTTTTGTCTGCTCGGCCCTCCCCGGGTTTGCTGCTGGTTCTTCCCGGGTTGGCTACCGACCCTTCCACCTCCGTGGAAGGGCGGTTCCCCCTGCCACATTCCCCACTTCCGCGGGGGAGCGGCACACCGCCGGCCGGCTCTCTCGGGGGCTGCACAGGTGTTCCTTCAGATAGATGTTCCTGGTGCATGTTGTCTCTCTCCTCATTTATAGTCCTCTTCCGCCAATCCCAACTCGGCTGCCCACACGCCGAGTACGCTGCTCTCCTCCAATCAGGAGCAGGTCCTACAGTTTATTGGTTGAACTGGAGGCAGCTGTGAAGAAGCTGTTTCTCCCTTCTCAGCGCCATATTGTGGGAGAGCAGATGCATAGAATAAGTCTTAATTCCAGTAACTTAGTCTAGTCCGAGTTGCTCCCCACACTTCTCTCAGCCTCAACACCCCATCTCCAGTGACAAAAATGTTTCTTTTCTCCTGGTGCAAGGAGGGCATCTTTTATGTGGGAGTCTCCCTGCCTTCTCTCAGGAAGAAAAGGGGAGGTCGGAGTGCCTTTCTTGCACCTGCTGTTTTTCAAATGCATTTAGCTCAAAATAATCAATATGCGAAAGCAGCATATTTTGGAGTGGCATGTCCTGAACTCTCACTGTCATCACTACTAATTATGCTAATTATGCCTTGCTAAAGGAAAATGTAACTCTTTATGTGCATAATCACAACCATTCTAACAAATGATTTTGGTTGGCTTTGGATGAACCCAACATGTTCTCCTAATATGGACCGTGTTCACCTGGTCTCCCTATAAATGAGGATTCCTCCAAATCAGACTCCAATCCCTTGCATGCATTTATATATGTACATATGACTTTTTAAAATCTACACTGAAGGGCCGGCCCTGTGGAATAGCGGGTTAAAGCCCTGGCCTGAAGCGCCAGCATCCCATATGGACACTGGTTCTAGTCCCGGCTGCTCCTCTTCCGATCCAGCTCTCTGCTATGGCCTGGGAAGGCAGCAGAAGATGGTCCAAGTCCTTGGGCCCCTGCACCCACGTGGAAGACCCAGAAGAAGCTCCTGGCTCCTGTGTTTGGATCGGTGCAGCTCCAGCTGTTGCAGCCAGCTGGGGAGTGAACCAGCGGACAGAAGACCTCTCTCTGTGTCTCTACCTCTCTCTGTAACTCTGTCTTTCAAATAAATAAAAATAAATCTTTTTTAAAAATCTATACTGAAAATATAACAATACTCAATGCTGTGGTGGTTTATCATCTAATATACATTCCTAACTCCTACTCTGACCCCACTGGCAAATGTTTGGTCTAAACTACTGGCTCTCAAAATGTTTGGCTGCATATTAATAGCACCCGGGGAGCTTTTAAAAATTTCATGCCCCTTGGGGTTGGAGCTGTGGCACAGCAGACTAAGCTGCTTTCTGCAATGCCGCCCATATGGGATGGCAGCACCACAGGCGGAGGATTAACCAACTGCGCCCAGCGCCGGCCCCACTCTGAAGTTTTTAACTCAGCTTCAACTTTTAGACTTTCATGTCTGTCTCTGCAGCGTCCAGTTTGAACATGAATCGAGACAAGTTGGTGTAGCAATTTCCTCCCTGTCTTGTGACCCTCGCTATGTACCCAGGTTCTCAAGCCTCTCAAGACTGCATCGTCTCCCAGGTGCTGTTATGATCACCTTGTCTGCCTTATAAGTCTGTCTAGCCATAATTCCCCTTACCCCTACTTTTCCTCTTAGTAATTTTCTATCCACTGGCCTACATCCTATTCCTTGGTTGTAAGTTCCCACTTGTCCATGCTATATTTGGAGTTCAGCCTAGTCTCTCTCCCCTACTGAAAATTCTCATTGCCGTGGTCATTCTACATATGAAGATAGTTTTACCCACACCCCCAATCCCTTAATTAAATGATGCCTTGAAATCCTTAACAAGTGTCATTGAATAGTCTTATTATTTTTTTTCTAAAGCAGCATACTTGTGCACAGGCCAAACATTCTGAGTGTTATCCAGGAGGGGATGAATCTTCCTGCATATTCCCTAACATCTTGGTATCCAGTCTTCCTTGAGACCCAAGCATCACTCCTGAGGTTCAGGTAAGTAGGACAAAATTAATTGACCTTTGTAAAGACATTACTGGAAACTGTGACTTAATTAGTATTAACCAGTCATCCAGTCTTTTGGAATTACCACAGCGATTCATGAGACAACAGCCTTGCAAGAGATTCATTTGGATACGCCTTCATTTTCTTGGGAGAGCATTCACTTACGTAGAATTAAATAGAGAATTAAATGGCCCTGAACTAGCCTTAAGCCTAAAGCTTGCTCACTGTTTCTTGGCAGAGGCACAAGATAAACACCAATTCTTAAGGAAAACAGATTCCTCAATTTCAGAATTTCCTTCGCATTCATATAAGGTTGTTTCAGTAGAATCTCAATAACAGCAGAAGGAAGAAAGTGAAAATGAGAACAGCAGCAACATTTATTCATGTATAGTAAACCTAAGTGTTAAAGTGTGGTGAGCTAATCTCCTCTCCAGTGAGAAATGCTAATCTATGTGGCTGCACAATTTCAGCTTTGGCCCTTTCCAGTTATAAACCTGGTTATAGGAGAAGCTTCATAAAAAATAAATACTTTAGTTCTTCCTGATAATCCCCATCAGCACTGCACTCCACTTGCTAGGCCCAGCTCATTCTGGGTGTTGGCGTACATCAGTTTTCTAAAACAGGGACACAAGAAATTCAAATTCAAACGGGATGGTCCGTATTACATTAGGGGGTTGGGACAGTTGATTTACTCATAGAATCACTTTAAACTCCCACTAGCTGAGGACCTGAGACAGAATTTACTGGCTCCTCTTGCCATCTTCGGTCCTACAAAAAAAAAAAATAAAATAAAGCAAAATCTGTCTGTGAAATGTGAGACTCCAGTCACAGATATCTTGACTGATGTCATTTCCAAGGCACGGTGCAGCCCTGTGACAGTCACAGCGGGCATCTGCCTCTGCATGGGGTTTCCATCTGCTTCCCATCGGAAAGAACGTCTTTAGGGAGTCACGGTAAACACAGAGCACCCATTCCTCCCCATGGGTCCGATCCTATATTGGTCTTTTTAGGATGAACTGCTTTTAGGACTGACTCTGCTTAATTTTCTCCTGAGTAAGAAGGCATGGAGAATTACTCCATTGCTGCAGCTTTAGTTTTCGTTCGTGTTTGGCTTCTTATAAGCAATTCTGTAAAACTTTTCCATATGATTCTGAAGCTATTATGCAAATGCTAGCAAAATGAAAACTGAGTCACTGAAACTCCTTTGGGAGAAGAGCTTTGCGTATGACTCCACGTGTTGCACTTCTTAGAACTAGATTGCATTTCAAGCAAAGCTTCCTGAGCTCTTTAGGTTTAAAGTTGCTAAACGTGTGGTATCAAAGGCTCTCTATTCCTTTCTCATTCAGGGTCAACAGGGATGAGAAGTTAAAGCAAAGAAAACATTATAATGACAAAAGATTCCCAAACTCCTCTTTTTCAGAGCAGCTTCACTATAGATAATCCACTTGGTGTTGAGTTATAACTAACTGGGAACTGAGTGTGGTGATCCACCAGTAAATGCACAGTGGTCACCATGATTGCTGAAGAAACTAAGCTTGAGTGAGTTCCACAGGAATGTTTAATAAGGGAAAAGATTCCATGCAGACTGGTCTTTTTCTCATCTCCATTCTCCCCTGCAGATTTTGCCATGTCCACAGCGCCTGAACAAAAACAGAGCCTCCATTATACTCCTTGAGGAATAATTTATTCAACACACTTTCAGAAATTGGACCTTCTGTGTTTATGTGCCATTTCCTCAAAAAGGCTGACTATGAGGATGAAATAGAAATAACATTGCTTCTCAATATTCCTCAAGCCCCAATTTCTAGAAAAAGACAAGAATACAAAGGTCTTTTTATTCGTTCTGTCACATGCCACTTTGTTTTAATGTGGTTTCCAGGAGTTCCGTCTCAAATGAGGCAAGGACCCCAGCGGGCAAGCCAAGGGGAAAGCTTCCCTCACCACACTGGGGAAAGGAATTATGACCACGAAGCCACATGGCTGTGAAAGAATGGAAAGGGGATGAGAGGAGACCTCAAGAAGGGGGAGAAGGCGAAAGGGGAAGACAAGGGGAAGAAGTGCAGCAAGCAGCTTGTCTTTCAAACAACGATGGAATTATGATGACTGCATTCCCAGGACTTAAACTTGAGGTGCGTGACCTTCATGTTTTCTGAAGTGTGCTACCTGCCTGAGATCGTTAGCCGAGAGGAATTTAGTTGGCCCACAGATGAACGCTTCCTAACAGCCAAGTGCCAGGTGTTGAATTGCGTTTGGACACACACACACACACACACACACACGTATGTACACCTAACATACCAAACCTGAAATTTCATGGAGTCTATTGACTACTTTGAGACTTAAATACAAAGTGGACTTATTGAACGAAAATTACTGCATAAAACTACACAGGGTACCTGGTTATGTCAAGAAGCGCATTGGTGATACTCGAATGACTGGAGTGTAGAAAACCTTGGTTTAGGTGCAGACAGGTAGAACACAGACGTAGAACACAGGTAGAACACGTGAGGGAGAGGGCAACAACCTGCTCCTCACGGAGTAGAAGGAGCCGCTATGGATCCAGTGCACATTTGTCAAGGGCATTCAACTTCACGTCTGAATACAGAGGTGGAAATTTCCTCCGGAGAACCTTGCCGACAAACTTATGGTAAAACTGTTTTGAACTTGCCGGTCGTCTGTTTCCTCACCTGGAAAGCTGAGACATTAGAGTTGATATTTTGTTCCTTATCATTTTAATCTATGCTGATCTGAATTTTCTTCCCCCCATTTCCCACAAACCTACAAGTTCTGACCAGCAGAGGGGGCCTCACTCTGCTTGAAAGTTCCTCTAAAGGCTGAAGAGGGGCTCCTGCAAACAGGACCACCCCTCCGTGGGTTTGCTCAGCACGCCTCCCTTTTCTCGGAGCTAGGATTACACAAATGAAACCGCTCACCCGTGGATCGGTCCAGCAGCGGATGAGTTGTCATAGCTCCGTCTTCAGCTTTTTTAAGGATCTGCTTAGCCACTGCACAAAATCTCTTAACTGAAAGAGGGTTCTGATCGCTACCACACTACTCATTGTGTATGTAGTACTCTGGGCTCAGCACGCAAGGGTACCATTGTGTTCGTTTTGAGTTGAATTCAAAGTTTTAGAGTTGTAAGAATCTTTTTAGATTTTTCTCCCGTTGTATTTGAAAGGCAGAAACAGACACGTCCCAACTGGTTCACTCCCCAAATGCCGGCAACAGCAAATGTCAGGCCAGGCTGAAGCCAGGAGCCTGGAACTCAACCTACTACTTGAGTCATCATCATCTGCAGCCTCTAAGAGTGTACTTAAGAAGTGGGATCAGAAGCAGAGGAGTCAGAACTCACGCTCCCTGGTATGGGATGTGGAAGTCCCAAGCAGCATCTTATTTTTTTTTTAAAGATTTATTTATGTATTTGAAAGGCAGAGTTACAGAGGCAGAGGCAGTTAGAGAAAGAGGTCTTCCATCTGCTGATTCACTCCCCAGATGGCCACAACGGTTGGAACTAGGCTGATTCAAAACAAGGAGCCAGGAGCTTCTTCCGGGTCTTCCACACGGGTACAGGCCCCAAGAATTTGGGCCATCTTTCACTGCTTTCCCAGGCCATAAGCAGAGAGCTAGACTGGAAGAGGAACAGCTGGGACTCGAACCAAGGCCCATATGGGATGCTGGCACTGCAGGCAGAGGCTTTACCTACTATGACACAGCGTCAGCCCCCCAGGCAGCATCTTAACAGCTGTGACAAATTCCTACCCTTGGAGGATCATTAAGAGCAGCTGTTCCAACTCCCTGGCTCCACAAACCAAGAACAGACATGTAAAGAACTTATGCCCTGGGGCCAGCACTGTGGCATAGTGGGTTAAGCTGCGGTGCCAGCATCCCTACTGGTGCCGGTTTGAGCTCTGGCTACTCCACTTCTGATCTAGCTCCCTCCTAATGTGTCTGGGGAAAGTAGCAGAAGATGGCCCAACTGCTTGGGCCTCTGCCATCCATGTGGGAGACTCAGAAGTGCGTGCCTGGGTCCTAATTTCAGCCTGGCCCAGCCCTATCATATATAGCTATCAGGGGAGTAAAACACAGGATGAAGACCTCTCTCTCTCTCTCTCTTCTCTCTTCCTCTCTTTGTGTAACTCTGCCTTTCAAATGAATAAACAAAAAAAAAAAAAAAGTTTATGTCCCACAGAAAGTTACTAATGTGGAAACAGGTTTATTCAGCTATTATGAAAAAGTCGCTCACAACCTGTTCAATCCTATTTGTTCCTAGTGGCTGTGTTACTTTAGCTGGATCATTTAACCCCTTCACTTCTGAGCCTCTGTTTCCAGGACGAGCCAACCACTGCAGTCACTTCGGTTCTTCTCTATTGGACTTGCTATCTCTCAGTGACTTTGCTTTGCTCTCTCTTTGCAGGCAATTCCAAGACATCTCAGTTGCTTTATTCTTCCTCCATCTGTAGTTTATGTGTGTGTTCTTCCCTTGTGAGCGTACAGGGATTAAAATCCAACTACACCAGAGTAAAATAGTTATAACTCCATTATGAACGTAACAATCAAAAAGAGAATTCAGATTGGTAAGAGAATGTAAAAAAAAAAAATGGAAGTAAGAGTGTTACAATTGTAGAACTGTGAATGCCTTTTTTTAAACAGAAACGTGTATAACCCTTGCCTAACAAGCATAGTTAAAGCAAATGGAAAAGTCCATCTGCAAAAGCAAAGTGGAGGTCACGAATGCAGCTCGAGACGGGAGGAGGGGGAACCGCAGCAATCAGCAGGCCCCCACCCCTGCAGCGAGCAGCAGCTAGCAAATAAAGCTTCCCATTCTTCCAGGATATTGAATTTGAGTTAGGGAAAGCCAGACATCATGTAATCACAGTTTGGAATTACACTGTATACTTAATAAAAGCTCACAAAACTTGCCAAAAAAATTTTTTTCCCCAGAATGTTTTAAAGAGCTATGTGTTTGCAAAGAGGGAAAGAGATGGGAAAGAAATCATGTGAAAAGGAAACCTTTCCACAGATCCAAGGCAAGTCCAGACCAGGCATATATCTGGCAAGCATCTTAAAATAGGACCCCTCTTCCCTCAAGGGGAAGTGTCTCTTTGAAGGAAAGGAAACAAGGGGCCAGGGGGTCCCCGGGAGAGAAGACAGCCCTGCTGGGACAGAGCCTCACGGGGTCCTCACCCTCTTCTCCCGCTCCTTTCTCTGATTGCTAAGTGAGGCTGATGCTGCAGAGTGCTTGGGTGGCAAGCCCTGCACATCTGGATTAACACCCATGGAGACAGAGCACCCGTGCAGTCACACAATGCTCCCCACACCAAAAGGCCTTGAGCTCCGTTTAATCCTCTGCTGCCACTGTTTGGAAATTCTTAATTTATGAGCAAGGGCCCTTATGTTTACATTTTTGCACTGGGCTTCGAAAATGAGGCAGTTGGTTTGGGCTGAACATTTTTGCGAGGCTGTTTATCTTACTTGCAGGAAGTCTGATGTAGGTGCCCCATGGTTAACCCTTTCCACGTGCTTAGCCCTGGTCTACTGTGAGTTGAGTTTGTGTCTTCCCATATGGTTCACACTGCAGTCTGCAGCCTCTCCCAGCTCGGAGCCTGTGTCTAGCACATCCAGTCCAACATGTCTTTGGTCTCTCCAAATGTGTCTCCAGAGTAGCATGTCTCTCTACTATGGGTGCCCTAGGAACACACTGCCCTTTTAGAATCAACATTCAAAGCAGCTGATTTCCTTCTGGAGAGTTTGGGGGCAAAGAGTGGTACAAACTCATGCTATTTGGAGCATGCTACATTCACCCTCATAAGGGCCTGTGTGTCCAACAACAGACATCTGCGTTCTCTTTTGTCTTATACAAACCTCTGTTGACTCTTACTATTTAGTCCTCTGCAGGTCAAACCTGTAAGGTTTGAAAGTGGTTCTTTTCAAAGTATGAGATACAGCTTAGCTGTAGCTTTGAATTATTTCTCCAGCCACAAGCCCTGGACCATGAAAGCACTGGCAACCTCCCCACCCCATCCCCACCCACAAAAGGTCCACAGGAAACTCCGAGGAGCCTGCAGGTAGTACGGTGCTTTTAATATTCCAGCAATCTTTCTTTTCCCCACTGCCTTCCTCCCAGAGAAAAGCAGAAAAGAAGCCAAACATTTTTCTATACAAGAACGGGACTCGTGACCTCAAGGGGGAGAGGAGAGTGGAGGGACAGAAAAGGTCCCTCTCACTAACCATCTTGTTGGAGGCCCTCCATCCCCCAGTTGGCTTCTGCAGACAGAATCTGGTACTGTGTGGGAGAAAACTTTCCTGAAGGCAGTGGTTGTACCCTGGAGGGCTGATGTGCTCCTTGTTACTGGGTTAGAAGCGGAAAGCCACAAAGGGTCTTCCTCCTGGGAGGAAGCTTCTATCTTTGAAGTCTACCCTTTTCCAGGTTTAGGACAAAGTGCAAATGACCTGGAGTTCTGACATTCCCCCCGTTAGGTAGCACTTTCCAAAATATTAAGGTCTTGGACGCACTCAAGGGGCAGGTGTCAATCTCTGGCCCAAGGGAGGGGCATCATCTTACTGCGTGCGCCAGGACTCAGAAGGCTCAGGACAGAAAAGCAAAATGAGGCTGTCTCCTTGTCCAGTGGTGAGAGCTAGCTGCCCTCTGAGCAGGGAAAGGGCTGAGACTGGACACTCAAGGAGCCAAAAGAAACTGGCATGGCCGAGTAGGGACGCGGTGCTCTGCCCACCTTCAAAAGGAGTGTTCCATGAGGGGCCTCGCCCATCACATTGCCATCCAGTGTCTAAGGCCCCAGGGATCAAACTGGCCTTAATATTTGACACCAGCACACCGAAACTCCAGAGAAGCCTATTCCTGACTCTGGGCTCTGACCCCTCTTTTCTTTAGAGCTTTTACTTTAAAAAACTTTTCACTGTAAATTTATTCACTGTCTGTTTGCGATATACGTAAATCTTTTTCAAAGTCTCATGCCAGTTTTAGAACCCAGAAATATCTTTCTCAGGGACTTGGAGCCATGTCACTGAAATGAAATCATCAGAGTACGTAGCACCTCCAGCTCCTTCAAGCCTCATAACAGACCATGTGGGATGATAGGAGCCTAACTTGGGTTGGCATCTTGTTCCAAGTTGTAAAACCACCACCTGCTAAAAAGGTATGAGAAGTTTATTTTCTCTTGGGTAAAGCCAGTTAGCTAACACAGGTGGCTCCCAATCTCCCTCGCACCTCTGTGCTTTAAAATCCTATCACCCTTTGTTTCAGCAAAGTTGAATTCAGACTAAGTTCTAGCCTCTCTCCCCTATTGCAACAGCCTTGAATAAAGTCTTCCTTTCCTGTTCAGTTTCGTCCAGTGCAATTTTTGCTTCAACATCAACAATGTAAACATGCTCCACCAAAATGTGTTGTATTCCTGCAAACCCTGGTTGCTGTGCAGCATGGAAAGACTGGTGACTAAATTACAGGAGCCAAAGTGCCACTTGCTTTGTGCCTCTTTCTGGAGGCTCTGGGGAAGGCTGAGTTAAAGCTGACCCAGGGAGAAGGCATGTCACCACTCTCAGTAAGAGGAGCATTGTCAAGGAGCAGGAGCAGGAAGAGACTGGTTGGAGCTGGGCTGCTGATACTTTACTGGATGTAACAAGGCCTCACAGTGCACTTACCTCATACCAGGTACAGCCCTGAGCACACTGCAGATAATT